CTCTCCCTCTCTCTCTCTCCCTCTCTCTCTCTCTCTCTCTCTCTCTCTCTGGCCAAAATCTCTAATTAATTCAATCGCCATTTATTTATCAAGTAATATCGACAATAATTTGTCAGCATATAATTTATTTGAATAATTATAAGAGAAAATTAGACCGAAAAGAATAAATCAGATAAAAAAAAAGAATCCTATTTTTTATCAAAGTGGATCTTACACTGAAAAAAATACAGTCAATTTTAATAAATATTTAGTTAAATACTGCCAACTAAATATTTATTAATTATAAAGATATATTTATTTCATACAAGAAATGTTAATTTGATTTAACAATCTTTTTTTTTACTAAACAAATATTTATTTACTGTAAGTAAATGTTTAGTTGGCAGTATTGAACCAAATATTTATTAAAATTGACTATATTTTTTTCTCAGTGTAATGTTTAATAATATAATATTCATACAGATTTACAAATGCATTTTTCATTTTTCATAAACTACGCCGATTCGATTTGTTGAACTTGAAACGCAATTATAAAATAAAGCTAAACGTAACATCACAAGTTATAATGATATTTAATTTAATAATGACGCTAATAAGCGTATTAAAATATAGTGAAAAACTTATTGCAAAAAATATAAGTAATTTGTTAGTTCACGCAATCATTATCAAGATACAATTTGATAATTATTAATAATACGAGATGTAGATTCAAATTGCGTGGTTTGCGTTACCGTGTCTGTTTCTCAATCAACGAAAGAGTTTTGCTCTGAATTCGGAGGAAAACTCTTTTAAGACAAGAGTTGTTTACACGATCCAAATTCGAACGGGCGGATTCATCGTTCGTGAAATTGTTAATTTTTGTGTAGTACAAAAGATAAAAGATTTTTTTTTTTTAGAAATAGATAAAATCAAGAATATAATGAAGTGTACAGAAACTGCACGGTAAGCAATTCTACTGGTTGAATCAATTGGAATTTAGTCTAAGTTATCTCCTTAAGAAGAGGCTTACCTAATTTATCTCTCAGAGCTATTGCGCAATGTTCGCAAACAAATTCGTTGTATGTCGTAAATTTTACTTGCTGTAAATCATAATTAATCTACTTACGCTAAATACGTAGATTCTTGTTGCATCTGAAATATAAATACACGTTAATGTTTACAGAAAGAGTCACGTGTGACTTACATGAATCATACACGTGCGTCTCGCATTCATTAAAAGTTTTTTCAATGAAAAATAGCAAGGAATGCTTAAAGGGACGTCTCATTAACGTATCGTAAAATTGTTTGTTCTTCTTAAGTTAAGACGGACGCAAATCGTTTGTTTCCTGTTGGAAAACCTCGACTTATCATTCGAAAATCTGACGCAACGTACACATTTTTTTTAAGATAACACGAGTACTCGAGGTAATATAACAACAAAGTTGCGTTACACCATTACTGAGATTAAGAACGTAAATATACAGACACAAAAAAATGTTAGGAATTTTATACGCATCTAGCAATGCAATCGTTTCATTCTGTAGCAAAAATAAAGTATTTTTTTGCTCGACCTATTTTTATTTCATTTTTTATAAAAAAGAAACCACAGGTATTATCTGGTAGACATTCGAGCTATCTTATAGGAAATCACGTCGAGGAAATTCCCTGAAGGCGACGTAATAGCTGGCACATCGCCACGTCATTTGCCGGTTCGAGCCTCCAGTGAACTTATTAACATTTCACAAGTAATTCAACTGACACTTCTTCGAAGATCTTAATCAATCAAGTCTTTGCTCTCGTGGGGTGCGTCTGTTCCACATGTTTTAGCTTTATGTTAAACGCAGCGGGGTGCAACAAACGGAGTGCAAACGAAGGCTGGGCCGGCAAGGGTTACAGCAAGGCGTAGAATTAGACTGTCTCTATTTCGGTCGATAGGTTGCAAACAACTCACGTCTATTCCGAACGTTCGTCAAAGAGTCATTATTATTACTGTATTGTATTATAAACGTTATTATGTTAAACTCAACGCTTTGCGCTTTTTTCTGTCATTGCGTTAAAGTGACGGGACACGATAAAGAAATAAATTCTTTCAGAACTACCGGATGAGAAAACAAGTATCTAAAAATCATCTGTGTTACGTAAAAACATAATTTTCTGTGAACAGAGTAGTTTTTTTTGTTAAGAAAGAAAAAACAACATTAGTGTTCACGCAATCAAGATACAATCAAGATACAATCTGATTAATAATACGAAATGTAGATTCAACTTGCGTGATTTGCGTTACCGTGTCTGTTTCTCAATCAACGATAGAGTTTTGCTCTGAATTCGGAGGAAGACTCTTTTAAGACAAGAGTTGTTTACACGATCCAAATTCGAACGGACGGATTCATCGTTCGTGAAGTGAATTTGACTTTCACGTGGGTGATTCTTTATTTTACTTTAGCCGACCTAAGCCCAGGTTACAGTCCAACGTTCACAATATAGAGATATGCTACGGCGCTGTGACGTCATGTAGATTGTAACTTTGAATTTAATAGTCGTATCAGATCTGTGCCATTCGGGTCTGAATACGATATCAGGAAGTTTCATATATAGACGAATATGTCATTATGACGATTGATAAAGTCTCAGATCCCGGGACTAGGCTATAAATAT